TAGTTTTTAAGATGATGGAGTTTTACACGATTATTTTTAAAATTTTCTCCTATGTTATGTTTTTTTTTTTTTTTTTTTTTTTTTTTTTTTTTGCGCGGTACGCAGGCCTCTCGCTGCTGTGGCCTCTCCCGCTGCGGAGCACAGGCTCCGGACGCACAGACTCAGCGGCCATGGCTCACGGGCCCAGCCGCTCCGCGGCACGTGGGATCCTCCCGAAACGGGGCACGAACCCGCGTCTCCTGCATCGGCAGGCGGACTCTCAAGCACTGCGCCACCAGGGAAGCCCCTATGTTATGTTTTGCAAAAGAAAAATTAAATTTAAACTGAAATGGTCTTAAAATTTTTTTTCTTTGTAGACAGTTTTTTTTTTTTTTTTTTTGCGCGGTACGCAGGCCTCTCGCTGCTGTGGCCTCTCCCGCTGCGGAGCACAGGCTCCGGACGCACAGACTCAGCGGCCATGGCTCACGGGCCCAGCCGCTCCGCGGCATGTGGGATCCTCCTGGACCGGGGCACGAACCCGTGTCCCCTGCATTGGCAGGCAGACTCTCAACCACTGCGCCACCAGGGAAGCCCCTGTAGACGGTTTTTATAGTGATGTTTTTATGTTAACAGTAACTTCAGCCACCATATCAACTATTTTTAGGGTGACAGACTACAGCTAATTTCTTTGTTTACCTCTTAATGTATATTTGCTTTCTGATTATTGTTCTTCTTTGTATTCATTTTACTTCTGGTTATTCCTGTATTTTTTTACTACTAGCTTTTTTTCTCTGTACATTTTTCTTTTTAAATCATTTACTTAATTCTACAAGAATTTTGAGGCTACTTCATTCTTACTTCATTCTTAATATTCTCCATAGTGATGTTCACCCTGTTCTGATTTTTTTGTTTTTCTTTTTTTATTCTTTTTAAAATCTCCTCTGTAGTTAATTCCTATTTAAGGCTCAGTCACACTTATTAGAAGGTTTGCTTTTATTGATAATTTGCATTTAAATGTTCAGTTCAGAATTTGGGAAATTCTCATCCCATAACCCTAATCCCAGCTCTTGTACTCATGAATACCAACTTTGCACAGTAAATGGCAGCTCTCCCAATTTCCCCACCTGCCAGTTACACCATTATAATGGTCAGTGAATTCTAACATTGTGTTCCTTAATTGCTTTTCTGCTTAAAATGTTCTGGATAATCCAGAGTTTTATTTCATACTTTTAGAGTCAAATAAGCAATGTTTTATCTCCCATTTTACTATGGACAGTAAAAATGGAACTTCTTGCATCAAGGAGTTGTATGGGGCAAATATGTTTAAAAAGTGTTGTTACTTTCTTGAATATCACCATTGAACTGATATAAAACTATCTGTAATCATGAACTCCCATGAATTCTGTTCTTGAATTTTTATCCACCTATTGAACGTTCCTACTTAGATATTCCTTATCACTTTTTAAAAATTTTATTGGAGTATAGTTGATTTACATGTTGTGTTAGTTTCAGGTGTACAGCAAAGTGATTCAGTTATACATATATTCATTCTTTTTTAGATTCTTTTCTCATATAGGTTAATTATCACTTCTTGATAATACTTTTGGGCTTAAAATATAAAAAGTCCTGATTCATATATGATATATTCTCCCAGTCATCTGGGCTCAAAGTTTTATAGTTGTCTTTGATACCTCCCTTAACTGTAGATGATCATCAAGACCTAGTGATCCATTCTTCATAGGATCACCTTCATCCTACTTGTCACATATCCTAGGTTCCTCTGCATACATGTGGATTCAACCAGCTGCAGACTGTGTAGTACTGTAGTATTTACTGTTGAAAAGTATCTGTGTATAAGTGGATCCGTGCAGTTCAGACCCACATCGTTTAAGGGTCAACTGTAAATGAGAGTATTCTGAAAACTTGTACAATTTGCAAAAAATTACTGGCCTCTTGGTTCTTGATCTCTTGTCAGCCTTATTTTCCATACTTCCTTATAAGAGCCTTTCACTTTGAGACAGTGTGCTCTATCCCTCAGCCAGATATGAACTACTTTTATCTCTCGTTGGTTCAGCTTAATATTTATTAAGCACTTATTCTTTGCTAGGTGTGTATTTATGGAATATATAAATAAAACACATTTTTTCCTCTCAATTTCAGTTCTGTTATTCTTCAAAACTGAGCTCTGTCTCCTCTGAAGCTTTCCTTTGATCACCTAGCCTAAATAAATTTTTCCTTTCAACCAGAAATGTGGAGCTCACTGACATATCCTCCCCTCCCCCTGCTATATGTGCAAGATAACATCTATACCAAAACGTGCATAACATTTTTTTTCCAGTTTTATTGAGATATAATTGAAATACAGCTCTGCATAATGACTTGACATACATATACTGCAAAATGATTACCACAGTACATCTAGTTAACCTCCATCCCCTCAAATAGTTATCAAAAAAATGGGTAATTTAAAGGTGAACATCTGTGTCACTACAATCAAAGCTCAAGAAATCGAACATTACCAGTACCCCAGAAGCCCACCACATGCCCCTTCCCAATCATATCTCTCCCACCCTCCTCCCTAGAGGTAATAATTATCCTTTTGTGATAGTCATATTCTTGCTTCTTTTTATAGTTTTGCCATCTGTGTATGCATCCCTAAACAGTATTATGTTTCCTGTTTCTCAAGTTTAAGTGCATGGAATCATATAACTTTTTGACGTGTTTCTTTCAGGATTTTTGGTGTTAAGTGTAGCTGAAGTTCATTCATTTTCATTGCTGTACAGCATTTCATTTGTCCATTTTATTACTGATGAACATCTGGGTTGTTTATAGGTTAGGGCTATTTTGAATATAGCTGCTAGGAACATTCTCACATAAGCATCCTGTTTTCCTTTTTTTAAAATATTTATTTATTTTTGGCAGCTTTGGGTGTTCATTGCTGCACACGGGCTTTCTTTAGTTGCGGCGAGCAGGGGCTACTCTTCGTTGCGGTGGGTGGGCTTATTGTGGTGGCTTCTGTTGTTGCGGAGCACAGGCTCTAGGCTGGCGGGCTTTAGTAGTTGTGGCACATGGGCTCAGTAGTTGTGGTACACAGGCTTAGTTGCTCCGCGGCATGTGGGATCTTCCCCGACCAAGGCTCGAACCCGTGTCCCCTGCACTGGCAGGTGGATTCTTTTTTTTTTTAACTTTTTAAAATAAATTTATTTATGTTGACTGTGTTCGGTCTTCGTTGCTGCACATAGGCTTTCTCTAGTTGCTGCGACAGGGGCTACTCTTCATTGTGGTGTGCGGGCTTCTCAATGCAGTGGCTTCTCTTGTTTCAGGGCACGGGCTCTAGGTGCACGGGCTTCAGTAGTTGTGGCACGCAGGCTCTAGAGCACAGGCTCAGTAGTTAATGGCACACAAGCTTAGTTGCTCTGTGGCATGTGGGATCCTCCTGAACCAGGGCTCGTACCCCTGTCCCCTGTATTGGCAGGTAGATTCTTAACTACTGTGCCACCAGGGAAGCCCCAAGTATACTCTTTTTCTAGGTTATATCCCTAATAATTGAATCACCGGATCACTGGATATGTGTAACTGCAGTTTAAGTAAAGCCAATTTTCCGAAAGATTGACCCAATTTAGACTTCCATCAACAGCACTGTGATACATCCTTTCTTGCCAGTTTTAGAATCATCAGACTTAAAATTTTGCCATTTTGGTAGGTGTGTAGTGGTATCTCTTTGTGTTTTAAATTTGCATTTCCCTGTTTCCTTTCCATATGCTTATTAGCTGTTTGTAGTTCTTTTCTTATTAACCTACTATCCTTTCTCTATTTTTGTATGGGAAACTTTAATTTAAGAAGTACCTATACAGTCTTTTTACTTATCAAAGATTTTTGATTTTATCGGGACCAGTCTGGCCTTCATGCTGTAGCTGGTTCGTCTAATGCCAGTATGAAGACAGGAGGAAATTTTGGTCCTTACACTAATCCCACCTTTTATAAAAATTTTTTTTATTAATACGTAAAGCTATTTGCCCAGTAAGCATTCATTTGGTAGCAAAAGGTATCATTCAATAGACAGGTATTTTTTGTGAGTGCCTGCTAGGTACTACATATCTTCCGAAGCTTTGGGAACAAGACACAAAATTCCTCCATTTATTGTCTTATGTTTTAAACTCAGTATTAAGGGCTGCATTTATCCAGTCCTGTTTTATGCCATGGCAACACTGAACAATCATTGAAAAGAATTAGCTAGAAGGTACTGAGGCAGCCAGTAGTCAATAAGCATGTAATCTTTGGAGTCAAACAGACTTTGGTTTCAGTTATGAGTCCAGAAATGCGTGACTTTGTGCATATTATGTAAGCTCTCTGGAATTCAGTTTTGTCACCTGCAAAATGGAAATAATAGCCTATAATGTTATGATGATTCAGTGAGGCATTAAATACACGTAAACTGCATAGCACATCACGTGGCAGGTATCCATCACCAACAGTGATGAAATCTAAAACCTCCTTCCCAAATAGTGTAAGGTTTCATGTCAAGGACTGTGGTGAGGAAAGAAACTGGTATGGTTCCCATGTATGCCTCAATCAAATATGAAGATGGTATATATATATAACTCATCTTCCATTTTAGGACTTTTGGGTTGTGGAATGGGGAAAGGCATATGTGGAACAGGAAAATGAGATATGAGATGGTCCAAAATGTTTGGAGTCCCCTTAAGTACAGGAGCAAAATGAAAAGAAAACCAGTACTGCCACATCTACCTCCGTAACACATCAGGTGGAGGCTTTTATTTTTGTTTTTTCCCTTTTGTAATTATGACAGTGTTGTTTTCCAACCCTGTTTATATCCCTTATTGCCTATCTCTGTGTTCATTTGATTATTATATCCCCCTAACAATATTAAAATGAAGATATTTTCTTTTATTTTGACTGGCCTTGAAATTAAAACTTGAATATGAGAGCAGTAAAATTGGATAAATATCTGCATTCAGGGCAATATTATAACTGGTGTATTGTGTACTGTTTCATTACAGCTAATAGATTTTCAGTGGAAGCTGGGTATGGCTGTGAGCTCAGACAGCTGCAGATCACTTAAGTATCCTTACGTTGCAGTGATGCTCAAAGTGGCAGATCATTCAGGCCAAGTAAAGAACAAGTCCTTCGAAATGACAGTTCCACAGTTTCAGGTTTGTGATAAAACTCATTCAGTTTAGCCATTGTTCTGTAATTACTGCTTAAAAAGATACATAAAATCTTCTTTAAGAGAAAATTTTAACTTTTTATTTGCAATTGTTTTGATGTGCTTTACATGCAAAAGATCTGGATGTGCTTTATTTGGGAATTTGATAAATTATTTTCAATATTTTCAATATAATATGCTGAATTTGTATACTGACACGCCATCACTTTCAAGGACTCATCTGTGAGTGTGTTTAAGAAATTTGCATCTTTTCTAGCAGGATATTTACTTTGCATTTAACTGCTTTATTCTTCTTAGGCTTAATATTCAAGAGTGATTAAGCTAAATGAATCTTACCTTTGAACAGTATTGACCCTGAATTTTCTGACTAATAATGTTTACAAAATGTAGATCAGACCACTAGTACTTGATGGCTAATTTTATCTGCTAGGGATTAGAGTAACTCAATAATTTATTTATAGAATCATGTTATATATATTACTATTATTATTTTTAGTATCCAATATTATATATATTATTATTCTACCTCTTTTCTGTAAGCAAGAAAGGAAGAAAGGGGGTGGATGAGAAATCATTTTCTTTTCAATGTACATACAGGGAAATGCTTTGTCTTTGGCTAGTTTAACTGGCCTTAGAGTTTTGTTTTTGTTTGTTTTGATCCCTTTGGTGAGTGAACAGATATGAATTCTTTCTTATAGCATACTTTCTGTTACCATGAATTCCAATTTTTTTAGATTCCACATATAAGTGAGATCATGCAGTATTGTCTTTCTGTGTCTGACTTATTTTACTTAGCATACTGTCCTCCAGGTTCACCCATGTTGTCAAAAATAGCAGGATTTCCTTCTTTTTAAAGGATGAATAGTATACTGTTGTGTATATATACACACCACATTTTCTTTATCCATTCATCTGTCAACAGACGCTTGGGTTGTTTCCATACCTTGCTATTGTGAGTAATGCTGCATTGAATGTGGGAGTGCAGATAACTTTTTGAGGTAGTGATTTTATTTCCTTTGGATATATACCCAGAAGTGAGATTTGTGGGTTATATTGTAGTTCTGTTTTACAAATTACATTTTAAGGATGTTCTCTCCTTTTGATTCCTTTTTTTAGAACAGCTGTGTCTGCTGTAGAACAAAAAAGGGTCACAGATTCATTATTTTTAATGCTAAATGGTGTCTTGGAAGCAAATTAGGACTTGGTTGGAAGGAAATAAATGTAGTGTACTGTGATATGTGAGTAGCTTTCAACTGAACATAAAGACCAAATCTATTTCAAAAAGGGATATAGGTTTCAGTCCTTTTGTAATTCATAATACTGGCCTAATTCTTATTTTTCTTTGCCACATTTGTGCTCCCTGATTCCACCTCTTAAAATTTTTTTCTCATAGTAAAAAGATCACAAATGGGGCAACTCTTTTAGAGGTAGTTTTTATGTGGCTTACAGCTAACCAGGCAAACAGCCTGTTAGTCACATTATAGGACTGAGCGCCAAGGAGCATTCTTTGAGCTTTTGACTTTTATCTTTCTAGTAGCTGAAATTATGATCATGAGTATATATTTTTTAAGAAATGGTTACGTCCTCCTTCGTTCCATAACAAACTTACATATGAGTTAAAACAAAATACAGATACTCTTTTAAGTAGCAAAATAGAGAATTAAGTCCAAAGAAGAGGGAAAATACAAGGATGTAAATCATTAGAGTATATCAAATTTGCTTCCTACTTCTCGGCAAGTAGAGGATAAGAAAGGAAAACAGAATTTGATCCCTTTTTTATCTGATGTTTTATCTGATGACTTCTACAGAACTACCATACCAGCTTGGTTTTTAATTGAAAGAGAAATAAGCTTCTACAATGTAAGCTACTGTCAGTGTTGGGTCTCTCTTAGTATAACTGACAAGACAGCCCCTATCACCCTGAAATGCAGTCTTTCACTGTATTAAAAGTGGTTCAGAGCCTGGGAACCAATCTGTCATTTTTTTAAAGTCTTCATTGTTGAGAACAGTGCTGGGCATTTAATAAATCTTTCTGTTGTGATCTCAAAGAACTTTGTTGGATGCTTTAAAAAAGTTTGTTTATGAGCTAATTATCCAACTCTACAGTAGTATTTTTGCTTGCACCAAATTACACCTGTTTGTTTCTTATAGTAACTTTTGAATAATAATAGTTGAGGAAGTAACATTAAAATGCAAACTTAATATGTTCTAGAGCCTCTGCTGGTTAGATATAATTAAAAGAACTACTTAAATAGCCTCTAAAAGCAAAATTAATATTGTTTTTCCCCTTTCTCTCCAGAATTTCTACAGACAGTTCAAGGAAATTGCTGCAGTTATTGAAACTGTGTGAAAACTGATTACTTTGTTGATGAATTGCTACCATCATTCTAAAATCATGGACTTTACTTTCTGCAACAAAACTGCCTAAGGATCAAATGATATTTATTGAATGAAAATTATACTTTTGATTTTCCATTTTTTTAAATAATAAAAAAGAAAATCAGACAAACAGGAATTACAAAGTGGTGATCACTGCACACTTTGTGAATATACTAAGAGCCACTGAATTGGAAACTTTAAAGGGTGAAGAACTCTGTGGTGTGTGAATTATATCTTAATGAAAAATAAATCAGACAAACAGTTGAATGATATTAAAAGCAGCACAAGTTTATGTATTAGACCAATAGTTTTTAAAATTACTGGTAATGTTACCCATTTTATAAACAAACTCTTCTTTTTTAGCATTCATTTTTTTATTGATGTATAGCTGATTTACAATATTATATTAGTTTCAGATGTACAACATGGTAATTCAAACTTTTAGAGATTACACTCCATTTATGGTTATTATAAAGGATTGGCTATATTCCTTGTGCTGTGTTGTACAATGTATCCTTGTAGCTTACTTATTTATTTATTACTTTAAAAAATTATTTATTTTATTTTTGGCTGTGGTGGGTCTTCGTTGCTGCACGTGGGCTTTTCTCTAGTTGCGGTGAGTGGGGGCTCCTATTCGTTGTGGTGCACGGGATTCTCGTTGCGGTGGCTTCTCTTGTTGTGGAGCCCAGGCTCTAGGCACTCAGGCTTCAGTAGTTGTGGCACTCGGGCTCAGTAGTTGTGGCGCACGGGCTTAATTTCTCCACAGCATGTGGGATCTTTCCGGACTAGGGCTCAAACCCGTGTCCTCTGCATTGGCAGGTGGATTTTTAACCACTGTTCCACCAGGGAAGCCCCAACAGTCTTTATTTTAAAGTCTATTTTATCTGATACGAGTGTTGCTACTCCAGCTTTCTTTTGATTTCCATTTGCATGGAATGTCTTTTTCCATCCCTTCACTTTCAGTCTGTATGTGTTCCAAGGTCTGAAGTGGGTCTCTTGTAGACAGCATATATATGGGTCTTGTTTTTGTATCCATTCAGCCAGTCTTTGTCTTTTGGTTGGGGCATTTAATCCATTTACATTCAAGGTTATTATCGATACATATGTTCCTCTTACCATTTTCTTAATTGTTTTGGGTTTGTTTTTGTGGGTCCTTTTCTTTTCTTGCATTTCCTGCCTAGAGAAGTTTCTTTACCTTTTGTTGTAAAGCTGGTTTTGTGGTGCTGAATTCTCTTAGCTTTTGCTTGTCTGAAAAGCTTCTGACTTCTCCATCGAAACTGAATGAGATCCTTGCTGGGTAGAGTAATCTTGGTTGTAGGTTTCTCTTTCATCACTTTTAAGTATCTTCTGCCACTCCCTTCTGGCCTGCAGAGTTTCTGCTGAAAAATCAGCTGATAACCTTATGGGGATTCCTTTGTATGTTATTTTTTGTTTTTCCCTTGCTGCTTTTAATATTTTTTTCTTGAATTTAATTTTTGTTAGTTTGATTAATATGTGTCCTGGTGTGTTTTTCCTAGGGTTTATCCTGTATGGGAGTCTCTTTTTCCTGGACTTGGGTGACTATTTCCTTTCCCATGTTAGGGAAGTTTTTGACTATAATGACTTCAAATATTTTGGCAGGTCCTTTCTTTCTCTCTTCTCCTTCTGGGACCCCTATAATGCAAATGTTGTTGTGTTTAATGTTGTCCCAGAGGTCTCTGAGATTGTCTTCAATTCTTTTCATTCTTTTTTCTTGATTCTTCTCCTTGGCAGTTATTTCCACCGTTTTGTCTTCCAGCTCACTTATTTGTTCTTCTGCCTCAGTTACTCTGTTACTGATTCCTTCTAGTGTATTTTTATTTCAGTTATTGTGCTGTTCATCTGTTTGTTTGTTCTTTAGTTCTTCTAGATCTTTGTTAAACATTTTTTCTGTGTTCTCAATCTGTGCCTCCATTCTGTTTCCGAGATTCTGGACCATCTTTACTATCTTTACTCTGAATTCTTTTTCAGGTAGGTTGCCTATTTCCTGTTCATTTATTTGGTCTCGTAGGTTTTTACCTTGCTCCTTCATCCCTCTTTTTTTTTTTTTTTTTTTTTTTTTAATGAGTGGAATTGTGTTCCTGTCTTACTGGTTGTTTGGCCTGAGGCTTCCAACACTGGAATTTTTAGGCTGTTGGGTAGAGCTGGGTCTTGGTGCTGAGATGAGGAACTCCGTGAGACCTCACTCTGTTGAATATTCCCTGGGGTCTTTCTGTTAGTCCAGTGGTTCAGACTTGGAGCTCCCACTGCAGGAGCTTTGGCCCAACCCCCCAGCTCGTGAACCAAGATCCCTCAATGTGCGTGGGGTCGAAAAAAGAAAAGAAAAGAAAAGAAAAAAGAACAGTAACAAAGTAAAAAATAAAATTAGACTGGGAAACTAACAGGTATGTTAGGAAGAATATAAAAATATGAATCAACAACCAGAAGGTATGTCAGTACCACAATAGTAAAAAAGAGGAGGAGGGAAAAGAAAAGGAAAAAGAAGTGGGGGGGAGGCCTTGGCTGTGGAGGGCGGGGCCTAAGCAAGGGCGAGGTTTGGGTGGTGGGAGGGGCCAATGCTCAGGACTCACAGGGCTGGAAAAGGCCCTGGGGGCTATGGGGGGTGGGGCTTAGGCTCAAGGAAGAGAATGGGCCCAGGAGTGCCCCCCAGCCCTGGTCTCAGGGCAGGGGACCTCACCTGGGAGCCCAGCAGGCTTCCTGGGCTTGAGTGGGCGGGGCAAACGCCCTTCTCTCCTCTCCCGCTCCTCCAGCCTGCAAGGGCCCATGCCTCCTGCCTCTCCTGATCTCCCCGGCCTTCCTTCTATGCCCCCAGGACTAATTCGGTTGTCGGGGGGGACCTTGGAGGGCAGGGGACCAGCCTGGGAGCTCAGCAGGCTCCCCTGGCCCGAGTGGGCGGGGCAATCAACCTCTCCACTCCTCTCCTGACCTCCCCAGCTTCAGGGGTGCCCATCCTGTCTGGCCTCCACTTCTCCTCCCCCCGCAGTCCCCCTTCATCCTACCAGTTCACTTTGGGGTTCCTCACGTCTTCTTGGGCGTGAGTCCCCCACCAGCGGCCGGCAGGTGCCCTAGTTGTGGGGAGATGCTAACTCTTCGTCTTCCCACACAGTCATCTTGACTCCGCCTCTCTAAACAAACTCTTACATAGAGTCCTTTATAGTCTTATATATAAAGTATATATGAATGACAAAAGTAGTATTTGATTAGGATAATGTTACTTTACAAATTCAATTTTATAACATTCACTTATGAAAGTCAGAAGAGTGAGGCTGCTCCTTCTCCAACACTTGGAATCAGGTTAGGATTGGTCATTGCTCCCTTATTTTAGCCTAGCATTCAGATGGTTCTGTTACTAATATTTGTAGAAAGTTCAAATATGTGCACAGACATAGGAAAATAAATTTTATTTTGAGTTTATGTACAACTGCGTTAACCTGGTAACACAAGTTATTGTGTTAGGTGGCCTCTTTTGAATTTAGATTTATAAAACAGTTGTTAAAATATTTTATAAAACCACAGCAATCAACACTGTATGGCATTGCTCAGGAAAATAAACAGATCACTGGAATAGACTAGGTGGCCTAGAAATAGATCAAGATATTTGGTACAAAGATGATATTTCATTTGGGTGAGAAAACAGGATTGATTTAATAAATGATACTAGCAGTCTCAACACATGCAAAAGTAAGTTCCAGATGAATTAATGATTTAACTATAAAAGATAGAAATTAGATGTTTTATAGAATATTTATGTTAACTAAGGCTTGGGAAGCAGCAACACCACAGCTATAACATAAATATATTTGAAATGTAAGAATTAAAAAATTATATGTGGGAAACAATGGGTCATAAACAAAGATGAAAGACAAATGCTAGGTTGATGTATAAGTTAGTACTTAGTCTGGAAACAAATTGCTTTAAGTATTTCAAGTAGGAAGAGATTTTATACAAGAAATGAGATGTTCACTAAACTGTCAGAAAGACTGAGGGAACAAGTCAGGAGAAATCATTGCTGGCTTTTAGAAAATCCGGTAATGCAGGAATTTCAGGGGAAGCCCCTGCCAGTAATCTCTGCAGAATGCAGGATGTCACCTGGAAGCAACTACAGGCCATTTCTGCCAAGTGTCAACATGTTAGAATGAAATAAAGGCTGCTTGCTTTCTTCACCTTTTCTAGTTTCACTGAGGGTGCCTCTCATTGGTGGAAGTTAAACCAGGACCCTGTTGACACAGGAATCTGGTCAGTGGAGTTTCTAGTCTTTTAGTACCTTTGGAAGGGAGATTTAGAAAAGCAAGAAAGGTGCTGAATATTCCTACTCTGCTGACAGAAATAGGAGTTATCATGGCCTTTTTTGCGAAGGGATAGACATAACACACATTATATAGAATTTCACAGCCCAGAACTTTCAGTCCAGAAATATATCCTTTTGAGTAAAGCCACCAGTACAGTAAGGCCCCTACATACGAACCTTCAAGTTGTGAACTTTCAAAGATGCGAACATGCATTCGCATGTCCACTCACGTAAGTTAGTTCATGTGTCTGCTGTACATTGTCACGTGCGTACATCCTCTGCAAGTGGTTGTGCTTTTGTGTACTTTACTGTACAGTACTGTATAGAGTACAGTAGTACAGTATCTTTATTTCAAGCCCAGGATGTCATCTGTGACAAGAAAAGTAGCTACTACCCAGACATCACTGGATCGTTTTTTCAAGAGGGTCGATAGAATTGAATCCAGCAAGGAGCCAGAACCTGTGCCTTTTCACGTCAGGCACAGGTGAGTGAAATTGCAGCTTGCCCTCCGTCTCCTATTGCTGATGATCCTTCAGCTCTACCACCTCCCACCTCCTCTCCCTCCTCCTGTCGGTAACTCTTCTTGCCTGTTCCCTCGATGCCAGCCCCTGTATGCCAGCTGTTGTACTGTACTACTGTACTTTTCAAGGTACTGTACTGTAAGATTAAAAATGTTTTATTTTTTGTGTTTGTTTTTTATGTTATTTGTGTGACAAGTATTATAAACCTATTACAGTACAGTACTATATAGCCGACTGTGTTAGTTGGGTACCTAGGCTAACTTTGTTGGACTTACAAACAAATTGGACTTAATGAATGTGCTCTTGGAA